GATTCCTCACTGTTGTTTTCGATTCTTTTTCGATTCTTGTTTTTTTTTAGTTTGAAGGAATCTATAATCTCACCATGACTGCAGGATAAAGGTGGTTGAAAGTATCCTTCTCATAATATGAAGCTTTATTTGTAAAAAAAAATTATCAAATTCCCCTTGATGGAATCGATTCCAACCTTTGGAATCGACTCTCGATTCCCAACGCCTCGGAATTGATTCCCAGCCCTAGTATGGGGTAAACTGAGTCACATCAGGTGTCAAACAAAACCATCTGTCATGGTATTGACAAAAAGTGTGAGCCAAATACTTGATGCTAGCAGAATATCTGGTTATTTTGCCTTCAGTTGTTCATCAGCATGACCTTGTGGGAAATATCGCTGAAAAACCCTGACAGTGTGACAACAAAGAAAATCTCATTCCTCTGATCTATATTGAATAATGAAATGATTATACAAAGATTTTTGTCAACTTCTTTCTGCAACATATGCTAAAACTCTCCCTGTGACTCAGTGAATCTAATCAGTTGTCCTCTATCATTTGTTCATATCTCTCCCTTCTTTTAGTGTGAGGGACTAAAAGGAGAGCTTATGGAACTGCAGGGGCTGTATGAGAGCAGCCAGAGGGAGAGGGAGGAGCTAGAGGCGGAGCTTCAGCGCTATAGGGCGGAGCTTGATCGGCTGGCTGGGAGGAAGGCTCAGGTGAGGGGTCATAAAGAGGGTCAGATATCAGTCATGGCGCACTGCTTTCTTCCAAATCCACAAGAGCCATCAATCTAGAACTTCAGACAGTGAACGTGTGAACTTCCTTGGGGTAAAAATGCGACCTCCAATAAATCACTGTACTGTACACATGCTGAAAACAAACAGACATTACTCACACAGCAAGTAGGGCGAAATATTATCAACAGAATGACACCATGACTCCATCGACCTCCATGTTTGTCAGCGTTTGAAAATGCTCTGTACATGACTAACGTTTTGCATGTGGGGTCAACCACCGCCGAAGCGACCATCTGTCCAACAGCATTACCTGTCTTTCAAAGCGCATCCTGTCTTACTAAACCACTCCGCCATTTTCGGTCGAGTGTGTATGTTTCACTTTGGGTTGCTTTTTGCCCTGTCACACACATTGATTCTGGGCTGTGTGTGTGTTTTCACATCTTGTGTTTGTCAAACCTTTAGCAGCTAATGTGTCTAGCTAGTTTTCTTGATCCAGTTTTTGTGTGTGTACAATGTGCACTGACATAGAGGTCTTTCTAACCCCTGTACTGTCTAACAACAAGCTCAAGCTCTTAGAAGTTTTTTCAAGCCACAGAAATAATAATTAAGGTTTTTTCCCATCAAAGAGTCTGTCCAGTCTGAGTACCCTGTCCCATGTCAATCATCCGTCCTTCATAGTTGTACTTTAATTGTGTGGTTAACCCCTCACTCACACTGTTCTGCAGCCTACAATTCCCATGATTCCTTAAAGGAATGTTCTGGGTTAAGTACAAATGGAGCTCTATCGACAGAATCTGTAATATGCTAAATAATGTTTAGTGAAAAGTCACTTTGTTTAAATGTATATGTTTAATTAACTGCAACATTTTAATTTATGAACTGTACTACCTATAAAAGAAAAACAAAGATCCACCAATCAGAGAAGTCGCTGTTGCAATGTAAAGTGTTTTTGCCATAAAGGATTGTGAATAATGTAATCGAGTCACTCTCCCTACACTCTACTTAAATATTTGCATACATTATACATTTTTGAATATTGGTTGGTTTTGCTATAAATAATTTTTTATTGTATATTTTGCAATAAATCATGTTGTTTTTATACTATTAGTCAGTAGTTTGGTATAGTTATGCACTGAAATTTCAACAACCAAAAATATTCTGCAAAAAAACTTAAAATAGTTTTGGAGGGCCGACATTGTGTATCTATACATGTCAAGTTCGAACACACAATTACTGAAACTTTATTTTCAGTTTCAGGTTTTGGCTAAATGAAAAATTTAATTTCCATTTTGGTAAATAAAAAAAATAAAATAATTATAAATAAATAAATTTAAAAAAATAATATAAAATAAAAAAAATAATTCTGTGTTATATATTCTAATGATTTGATTATCATTCATGATGATTTATGGGAAGGGTAGTTTATTACTTCTAAATGACTTCAAGTACATATTCCTGCACCTTTATGTCTTTTTCCAATTTTCATATACCGTGGTTGTGCTCTTTTTTTGACTTGTCCTTCACTTTGTAAAAACACATAGATAGTTGATAGACGGGCTTACAGTGCAAGCAGATGAGGGAAAGACACAATGCTCTCTCTCAACATGTTTGGTTTGTTTGTTTATACAAACTGAAGGATGAATCCGAATTATTTTTTGTGGTATTCAACAACATGTCCCAGATACTGTCGACAGATTTAACCCGGTACATTGGTTTAATACAGTGGGCTGGCTGTGCAGTGTGGGCAAGGATCTTTAAATGCCAAGATGGCGACCTTGGCTCTGTGTTTATCAGCCGGGGGGGTCAAAACGAGCACAAGGTTTCCATTTTGTGTTTAACCATCTTTGCTGTGTATCTAATCTCGGTGTATTTTCCTGTGTCCCTGCTCCCCTGTGGTCCTTCATCACTTCGTTCTGTTGCTTTCTAACCACCGAACACCTACATAAACATACCATAAACACCCATACGCTCACGACGCACACTGAACTCTATCAAATTCCAAATAAATTTGATGATTCCCGATAAACTGCTGGCATATCTATCTATCTATCTATCTATCTATCGTTCTGTGTATCATTCTATCTATCTATCTATCTATCTATCTATCTATCTATCTATCTATCTGTCTGTCTGT